TCAACATTTAACAGTCCAGAATCAGAATTTCAAAGTCAGTGCTATTTGAGAAACTAATCCTGTAGTGAAGTTGGGTGTTACATTTCTGCCTTTTCACCCTTTAAAACTCTTGCCTTGAGCTCTGGTCACTAAGCACCAAGCAAAAGGAATGGGTTTGGAGCTCTAATTTAACTTGTGTAAACTCAGCCAAATGATAATAACAATACACCAAATATCCATTTCTTCTCATCAATCACAACTTGCTAATAATGATAATTTCAGTCAGTTTAACCTGATCTCTTGTGTATGTCTAGACTTGGCCAAATCCATGAAGTCCAGAAATACTTGAGCTAGTTCCAGTGCCAAAACCATTCTAGCTACAGGAGTAAGGAGCAATTTTTGAAGAAGGAGCAATTTTCAGGGTACATTAACTCTTTCAGATCTTAGCACAAGACTCTTTCTAAATCCCAAAATATCTTGGGCAACACTACAACATCCTAGAGTGTGCCAGGAAGACATACCCATAACTTTCCTGTGCTTTGGTGCTTGGGATATTGGCTTTGTGTCTCATGAGCAAGCTCTCACTCGTCAATTACAGGAAACATTTTGCGAACTGAGTGAAGAGAAACTAGGATTTTTCCACCACACTCAGTTTTATAGATCACTAATCATAATCTGATATACTAGAAGCTAGCAGTCTGGTCATTTCTGTTAGGTTTTTGTGCTGCTCTGTGTTCAGTAATTCATATTACCTTCAAAAAGCTAGCTTTGAAAACAAATACACAGTGTTTGCAGAAATTGTTACTGAAAAAAAAAGATAGCTGACAGATATACAGTCCTTAAAACATATTCTCCAAACACCTCTGCATTTTCTGAACTTCCCTCAAGATTTTTGTTGCCTGGTACATTTATAATCTAGAAATGAAATAAAAAGTTTTTAAAACGTAAGTAAATAAATCATTGTCTTTTATTGTAATTCCAGATCATGATCTTGCAGATGCGTGTGTTAGACAGGAAACATTCTGTCCCTCCTAGCCAAACACCTCCTCCCATAGCTAACAAACATCAACTTCATTTCATCCACTTTTGTAACTAAAACGCACACCTTGCCTCCACAGCGAGCACCAGCATACAGACATCAAGGGCCTTTGCCAGGAAGAAGTTGTACGGTTTTTTATATTTTCGAAAGTACTAATTCTGATGAAAACCAGATTGGTATCGGACGTCCTAAACCTAGCACCCAACAACCATGACACACAGACTCACAAGACCCTTTTGAAACTCAGGAAGAGAAAAACCTGACTACAAGGAGAGACAGAAAGTGAAAGAAGATAAGAAAAACAATTATTAGTGTAACTTGTAAGAGGCAAAGTCATCGTGGGACTCCCCAATCTAAGGAAATTCTGAATTTAAAAGAGTGAACCTCTCAAAGCACATTCAACATTCACATTTTTACTACCGCTAGACTTCTTGGACAGTCGTTTTATACCATCATTCATCACTGGAAAATATGGTCTGATGTGCAAGCAATAAAACATTGACCAAAATCCCATAAAATAAGGACTCATTTCAACACGAGAACTTTTTTACAGTACTGTAAAAGGCCTGAGCAAATTTTAATCCACTTCTGAAATGACTCATTATTTATCCAAAGGGGTGCCTTCTGCCTGAGTGCTGGACCACACTGTGAGGGGTTCTCCTTTCAGAGGAGGTCCTCCCAGCACTCCTCCCATGGTCCTTTCAGTGCACCTCCATCCTTTGGCTGCCTCCTTCCTCCTCTGTGAGACGTAGAGTTGCAGGGCTGTAAAGTATATTTTGCTGTGTTTCATACGCTTCTCAGCTAAAAAGCAGCCAATAAGGGGTTAAGCTGAAAGCACCAAGACGGCTGCCTCCCCGGCTGAAGGATTGATTTGATCATTCTTCAGGGATTCCCTCTTGTATGAGTCACTGCTCAGACAGACTCCCCACACAAGGAGGCCAGGATAATGCCATTCCTCCAGAGACTACAACAGCTGAGGGCTAGCCCTGAAGACGGAGAGCTTGGGACTCATGCTTGGAAAAACATTCAGCGGACCACAATGCACTAGGCAGACTTAAAGAAATTATTCAGACAGAAGGGAAAAAAAAAAAAAAAAGGCAAACAAAAAAGTGTTCTCAAACTCTTTGCATTAACCAATTAAGTATGCAGACTAGCATGAATTAGACGAGCTTCCGAAGACTGCCTCCTGGCTTGGGGACTCTGCCCGAGTGAGGACTGAAGACTTGAGCTCATGTAGTATAATATTTAAATTTTATATAAAAGATATGTTCTCTTTATGAGTGCAATGATTCCTGTGATCTACTACTTTGTAATAGCTGCATTTGGCTGCTACCCACTAGAAACGTGATTAACATTTCGAATTCAAAAACAAAAGCAGTAACAGCAGCAAAACTAATGAATGTCTCCAGCTAATCACAAAAGTTTATAACCAGTTTTCTAAGAGAAAGAGAACTATGCTGGTGTTCCCTCTCTTGACCTACTTACATAGACGTGCGAGGGCTGAAAGGGAAAGAAACACCATGCGCTAATTTTCGAAATTGAAGGCTAGTAATGCTTGTTCTTTTGACATTAAATACAGTGACTCCACTCAAAAATTGAGCTGGAGTAGTTTGCCACTAAGACAACAATGCATCGTGCTTGTTTGTTTCCAGTGCATCAAGCTGTTAGACAACGTAGCACACAACTTAACACAGAAGCCCTAGAAGTTGCTCAGTCCAGATCACCTGGCAACTTTGCTTTTTGTGTGCCATTCCTAATGACATGATTGCAGCTCCTGGAGATGCTGAACACTCTCAATTTTAAAGGCTCGGCCCCTGCAGCGTACCGCCACAAGGCAGTACTACCCTGCAACCGCAACAAATCTACGGTGAGAGTACTAAAACCAGGCAGGACAGTTTACGATCAGATCTTTCAATACTGACTTAATGATCTTGATTGCTCTTCAATAATAGCAGCTCACTGACTGTTACCCCCCACTCCATGCCAGGGGAAAGCGCGCAGGGGGATCTCTGGTAGTGCTTTCATGTAGAAGAGACATTCCTGCACTGGTCCATCCTGCCAAACCATGCACCCAAGGAGTTCACTCCAGGAGTTTTTCAGGGTAACAGGCAGGGCCTTTCGATCATTTTCTTCCTCATCAGCACTCCCCGTGTGCAGTAGTACACTCCATCTCCCACAATGTTTAAAAAATGTCGCTTATATCAATTATTTTCTATCTATATGCTGTCTTTGTGCAGCCTCAAATTCCTTTTCTTGAGGGAGGTATCTTTCTGGTTAAGAAGTATAAGACTGGCCCCGTTTTGCATTTTTGCAGTTTAAGGCTATACAGTGAACATCCTGCTTTTGGTGTACTTAATGCTAAGGGACGCAGTGTCCAAATCCACACTATGGTACCTGCTGGTGGGCAAGTAGCATCACCATCATAATACTTTGGGATGCGATACTTCAGAATTTTTCCAACTCAATAAAGGAAGAGGAGAGAAAATAAGCATGAAGGAAAGCACCTTTTAATGTGGTTTCCTTCCTGTAATGAGACAGATCGAGGACTTTGCTCCTGACATGTCACACAACGCTAACCCACTTCTGTGCAGTGAAGTAGACAGTCAAGTTCTTCTCTTGCCTCATGCTAGGCAAAGAGCAGAGTTCTGGTTTTTTAATTGCAATACCACCTTTTTTCCATTTTTTTTTAAACTTAAGAAACAAGAAGGGTGTTCTGCTCATCTCAAGGCCACAGCCTGACCAGACACAGCGCGGCCCTTGGGGGTCACAGGAACAGCACCGCCTAGCTCCAGCCAAGGAGCTGGGGCATTACCTCTGCCCTGCACGCACTTTCGGGGACTTAAACCTCACCAACCCAGGACTCCGCCCAGAAACTTCAGGGAAGTCTTCTGCTCTTCCCCTGAGCCTGCTGAGCCTACTTAGAGGTCTTCACCTCCAGAGCCTCCCCTGTTCACCCCGCCATCCCTTCCTGCATTGCTGGCAGCAGCCGAGAGCAGGAGAATGGCATGGGAACCTCATGGACATGGAGGGTTAAACAGGCGCAGCGTCAAAGCCCGCGCTGGCGGCCTCAGGAGCGCCCAAGACAGTTTAAAGTTCAGGGGGGGTTTCAGCCAGCAGCTGAGGAATCCGTAGCTTGTGCCAGTGCCACGGAAACCCTTTCCAAAACAAGACGCAAAACTACCCGTAACGATCTCATTTCAGAGCCTGACTTTGACTCACAGCTCTGCTCCCACCGCCTTTTCCCGCAGGGGCACTCATATTTATTATGCATTGTCACCCTGTGACCCACCGCTCCTGCAGTCACACCACCACTCCTGCAGACACCTCCTGCTCCAGCCCGAGCTCCCACCCCATGCTCCTTGCCCTGCTTCAGCCTGGCCAGGAACCCTTCCCTGGGAGGAGCGGTCCCACCAGCAATGTACTGCAGGAGCAGCACCATGTGAGGGGGGAGCTGGCAGCAGTCCTTCCCCAGTCTCTAGGTAAACCAGAAATACCTCCTTCAAATGAATGCGTGTGTGCTGCAAGTCCTCCTCAGCCAGTGGATTGTAAATGCCACCAGTCTCGGCTGCCACAGAAGGAGACACACGTGCACATACACATCACCAGCAACGCCACCCCCTCTCCACAAATTACAGAAAGGTTTAACAAGATGCACCACTTGCAGGTTTTACGGGGACATGCCACCTGATGTTTCAAACCCCTTTCACAGGTCCTACCCAGTACAGCCGCAGTTTGCTACAAAACCAAATGCCCAACTTTGACTTTCAATGTCGCTATTGTCTACCTGTAACTACACCTGCCATAGTGTGAAACCTCAGCATTAGGCATGGCTCAGATCACTTTCACAGCTTTGCCCAGTGACATGGAAAACCTATTACATGCAGAAGAAAATGTCATTACTGTATTTATGCTTTCATCATTTGGCAGAGATTTTAAAACAGGGGAAAAAAGGCAGACTGGAGTCTAGATTGAAAAGACATACCTGGTGCTTTCTCCACAAAGATGACTTTGGAGTCTTGCAGAAAGTTATGGCCAGTCAGTATCATTTTTTTCCCTCCAATAACAGGAAAGCTGTCAGTACTTTGCTTCTCCACCAGAGGCAGTTCTTGGGCAGATCTCTGAGCTGCAGAGTTATAAAGAAGATTAAAAAAAAAAAACCAAACCAACCACAATCAATCACACACACGCAAATAAGTAAATACTGCATTAGTAAGTAACTTAATGCTTACCCTCATAAGCTAAGCTGAGTTTGATATAGAAACAAAGAAAGGTCAGAAGGTTTGCAGGAAACGGTTCATTTTCAAGCACCTCGATTGTAAACAATAGGGTTATCAAATATAGCAGTACAGATTCAAAAGGCTCACAAAGAACAAGCTGTTTTAAAACTCAGCTTGATCTGTACCGTATCAAAAAATTTTTATTGAAATTTATTTAAAATAATTTTCTCTTATGTTATCTATAACATATATGCCATGTGTTTACAAGGCACACATGACAAGACGACCATCCATGTCCAAAATGTGTTTCAGTCACTAAACACTGTATCGTTAATTCTGCAAACTGTCCTGCAGCAGCAGCAGCCATGAGCCTCGCAATCCAGCACAAATTCAAAGTTTAGAGAGCGTATTTCCACCAGCACCCGCATGCCAAAGCACACGTGGATCCATGCAAACAGAATACGATATTCTCATGGCCCATATTTTATCCTCCCCTAACTGGGACACAGAGCAAGCATGGCTGTGCTTCAAGGGATGACGTGACATTTTATCCAGATTACGTGGTTCCTCCTGGTGTCACGTGCACTAAGAGATGCATGAAGTTTTTGGCACTAGTTTGTTACACATTCTGCACTGGAATAACACTAGCACATTTTTTTCTCCTGTTTTCTGCTCCTTTCAGGAGGCATGTACCACACTTTTGCTCGTTACACAACCCTCAAAACTGCAGTCCACTAATACAAACCCAATCAGCTTCATATTTAGTGGCTTCCTGAGCTTGGTACCTTTGCACAGACCAGTTCAGGATGTATTTAAATTGTGCCTTATCTTGCCATATAGCAACTGAAAAGCTCTCATCAACTTCAACAAGAGCAGGATGAAAACATGACTCCTCACATTTTTTTGCTTTGCCTGTTAGCCTAGAACTTGCCCTTGAATAAGAAACAAAGGGGAAATTTCATACATAACCTGCCCAGAAGACAGGGCTTTATGCCAGTCTACCTGCTATAGGTAAGGAGGCTCTGCTATTCTTTATAAATAACATAGGCTTATCTTAACGTAACTCCCTTCACACTGCCAATGTTTGTTTATTTAAATGAATGACTGTGAAGGAGAGAAGCTATCACTGTTGTCAAACAGCACTACTCTTTCCTACAACAACTGCCTCTCTTGCAAACTCGGACTACCAGACCGGCAGCAGTGCCACCCTAGGTGAAAGAATGGAGTACTGTTGCTGGTCTGAAAGTCTGTCACCAATGTCACTGCTTTTGCAAGAGCAACGCAGGGATGCTCTTTCCTGCAGCCTTGCTATTAATGATCCCTGGAAAAGCACCATGCCTCCGAGAGATCAAATGTTGACGTGCTCCAGAACCTGCCAGACATGTTGCGTGGGACTCCAGCCTGGCAAGCACGGACACAACCCTCCAGCACATATGGGTCTAGGGATGGTCAAGTCTTCCTTCCTATCCTCTCTGCTCCCCACTCCCAGGGCTCACCTCCCACATACTCACCAGACATTAAGTTACTCCCTATCCTGTCGGCATCAGAAAGATCCACTTTGTGGAATCCAACAAAACCTTAAAAAACTGCTTCAGTCCATCCAGCCGACCAAATTAGGAATGGGAGCTGTTAGACTGAAATTCAACTTCTACCATTTATGACGGGCTGTTAAAGCTACATGAAGTGAATGGGGTTTGTTTTGTACGTGGGAGGCTGACAAGGCTTACGGAGCCAGCACGGCTATAGGTGTCTTTGGAGGGTGCCCCAGTGTATCTGATAAAAAGAAGCCTGTTCAATCAAAGAGACCCCAGTGCGGAAACCTGGTTTCTGGAGGTTTTCTGAAGCTGCAAGCAGCTTGTGCAGTGTGTCAGCTCTAGTATACTGCTAGCTCCGCATCAAAGGGGTTAGGGTTTTGTTTGCTGGTTTTTGCTTTATCATGGAGAGACAGAGAGTGATAGGACACGATAGCTGTTTTCCAAAACTCCCACAGCAGTTACCTCTGTGATAGGGAGTCATCAAAAAAACCCAAAAAAGCCTTGTCACTCCCAGGTCTACTATTAGTTTAAGTGCACTCTACTTTTATTTTAAGTGCATTCTTTCCTATAGAAATCAATGCACAAAGCTACATATTTTTTCCTAAGACATGGGCATTTTGTCTTCAGTATAAACCACACACTTTTGGAAAGCAGATTAAGGTTCACTGACTAGACAGGTAAAACAAAACCAACGTATAGCATGTTGGTGGACAAAGACTGCGTGTAGAGTGGCACAATACCCAGCAAGAGAAGGATGTTTGTTGCTACTTACAGCACTCGATGGGGTTGGAGGCTACTTGCAAGGACAGGGTCCTGCCGTTGGCCTGCGGGATATGAACCCTGAAGACCAGCCGCACACGTGTGTTCTTCCGACCAATGTCTGTCTCTCCCTTGCGCAGCTCGATGTCAGAGTTTCGGAGCTTTAATATCCCAGCACAGTCGATGCTATTCAAAAGGAAACACAGAGCAATTCAATTAATTTCAGGCAGACTTCAGGAAGACACAAGTGTGCAGTATCTTCCCTCTGTCCTGTACATCCTTCTTAAAAAATCTGCGTCAGACACGACCCAATGACCAGGCTGAACACGGCAGACTTTGTTAAGCCTAGTGCTTGCATCCACAAGTAGCTAAGTTGAGGCTATCTGTAGTAACAGGTAGTAGCTGCTGTTGAGCAGACAACTTTAGGATGTTACTTCAGTTCCCAGAGGAAAATAATCTAAAATATCCTTCCTTTCCAACACACCTGTAAGGATGGTGCTTACAGATTAACCAAAGCCCAAAGAAATAGTGAGACTAGAAAAGTCAATGGGATGAGACGGTAGTGCACAGAGCGTTACTAACCTAGAATGCAAGGTTACTTATGATTTCACTTGTTACAGCTAATTTGGAGAAAAATCTGACATGATTTTTATTCTAGGGCAAAGTCCTGAAAATGCTTATTAATAAGCACAGCTGTCCCTGAGGTCAGTTCTACTGTCAATGTGTTGTTTGTATTTGAATGAGTTGGAAATAAATACTCCCAAGCAGAACGTTGAGCTGAAGCTCTGCATGAAAAAAAATAAACTCGGAGTCTTCCCACTGCACTAGGGAAAAATGTATTTTTCGTCAGATGGAACTATTACTATTTCTGACCTCTCTCTCCTTTTTTTTTAACTTTTTTTTTCTCCTGGATGAGTTTACAAGTCAAGATTTTTGTCAAAGCAAATTTCAATAGAGGAAGTTCCCAGAACAAAAGATATATAAACATACGCACTCAGAAACCACTGCAAAAATACCTCTGCTTTGGCCTTGACTACAAAGCCTTCATGGCAATTTCTTCTGGGTACTGGTCTCTGGCATGCGTTGTTATTACACTGAATATGCATAGTTTAATTTTATTTTGCATTCAAAGAGTTTAATTCCCCCTCCAGACCTTTGAAGCTCTGTTCTGAAGCAAAATGCAAAGAACTATGGCAGCAGGGTTTTGATCTACATTTTTTCTAAAGTATGGATTTCAAAATAACAAAAAGGCCCTTACTGATAAGATCAAAAAAACTAATGAAAATATTAAAGCTCCTCAACATTGCATATTAGCACGTGAAGCCGTAAGAATTATGAAATATTTGTACCCATGTCAAAATTCTACACAAAGATCCATAAAATACGGAAGAAACTGTGCTTCTCAATACTGTCTCTCCTACAGCAACACTTGTAAAATAAATAAAAAGTACTTAGTGACGATTAGTTCAGAGCCAATAAAGTTTAGAGGAGAAAAAGCATTTAAATTCAGGCTTGTAAAGTCATGGACATTAAAATCTGAAGTCAATAGGAGTAGCTAAATGTGCAAAAGTTTAAGTATGCAGATGAGCTTCAGTATATCAAGGCCTGAATACACAAAGTATGTGTGAGAAAAGTCTTTGGCTCCAAATTTCAATTCATTTTTAGTGCTACATGACGTTTTAGTCTACTGACGTGTAAGGCTTATATATGCCAAAGCATTGTTTGTGGTTCTTGAGAGAGCTCTACTACAATCATCTGGCACATGTCACGAAAATATTCAGCTTCACTCCCAAACTGTGTTAACTACCTTTATTCTAGGGAGAAAGATGATTGAAATGGTAATAATGTTCCTAGATGGCCAAAAATGTGATTCAAACTGGATAAATAAAGGGCCAAATAAATACTGTGTGGGTACAAACTGGTGAAATTTCAATAACCTCAATGGAGTTGCACCAGTTTATGATGACAGCAAATGGGGCCAATAATTTTGCAGGCTTGTCATGACTTTTAACACAATGCACTGAGGACAGAGGTCCTCAGGTCTTGAGTGATCACCCTAAGCCCTGCTGGCAATGCAGCTAAACACATTCTAGCTCTTCTATTTACATGATGCACTCCGGGGCATGTTGTACATGACACTGCAAACCAGCTTCTAATAACCACTACAGGAAGGACTTCGGGTGTCTGATACCATTTTACACTTCATTAAGGCACAGAAAACTATGAATAATGAGTGAAATTGTGATTTTAGTAAGCTCCCTGAGACTTTCCCGTGGTATTTGGTTTGGTGGGGCAGGATTTCTTGCTTGCTTTCTATCTCCCTACTTACCCTTCTATCTCCCTATACATACACACAAAGGTGCACAGATCTATATAGAAATATGAATACACTCACATTTATACACACATCAAGAGATGTACATGCACGCAAGCACACACAAATTCCTCCCAAGGCAGACACCTCAGAGAAGGGTTAGGATCATTTGAATCAGCGGGGAGACAAGTCAAATAAGGGATAGGATCATTTGAACAAGGAGGGTGGAGAGAAGGGGATTAAATAATGTGAAGGGTCTCATGTATGTCACATACACAGAGGGATATTTGACCTATACACAATCCTATAATGAAATTTACCTGTGTGTAATGGACCTACAGGGCACTTAATTATCACTCAGACTCCTACTAATTCAGAGATCCTAAGACATCCATGCCTGCTTTTCTGCACAGGACTAAACTTACCCCAGTTAAGTAACTCCAATCTGTAAGTTGTATCACCTTTGCTCCTCTTCTAGAAGCTTTGCTTCTAAACAAATGCCATGAAAAATGCTGATTTTTATTACATAAGAAATAAGAGTGGTTTTATTTGTCTCAAAAAACCACTAGGGTATTTGGAAATGCTCTCTAAGAGTTTCCTTTGACATCCAAAGATAAATTTTAATAGGCCCTGTTCCTTGTGCTAGTGCGCATAGGAGCAAGAGGTGTCATATTTAGAAACTAAATGCAGGAGCTGAGGTAGGAGATATTTACAGCTTGGTAACTGAGATACTTATTTTAAATGGCAAATAAGCACATTGGCTGAAACCCTAGAATGAAAGCAATCAGTTGTCATAAATATTTGTGAAGTTCATTTTGTTGTTAAGCTGATTAGGGGCAATTTGTCCCAGTAAAGTTGTGAAAACCTACTAGTACAGAGAGAACTTTAAAAAAAAAAAAAAAGAGATAGGAAAATGAAAATTGTGTACAAAAAAAACCCAAACACAAAACCAACACAGAAGAAATCAAATGGGGTGACGAAGAGGAAACTGCTAGGAGTCCGATACAGTGCCTGGGTCTTACATTGCTCTCATGTTGTTCTCTGGAAGAAGTGGAATTTCCAGGACTTTGGTGTTGGAAAGTATTGTTTCGTGGCTGGTGGTGGAAACGGTCTTCCCGGTGATTCGATGAACCTGGTAGAAAGCATGGGGTCGCAGCAGGCGGTCGTCTGCAGTCCCAATGAACAGCTGTAGCGTGAGCGGCTCGCTTTCTAAGTAACCATGTAGCTGGCAAGAGAACAGAAAACGCCCACTGAGCACCATGCACATAAACTGCTAGGAATCAATTAAATTTTTATAAGCAGGAGAGCCTAATTCAAGGAGAGAACTCGTGACAGGTGCTACGTGTTAAGTTCCCCCCTTCCATTCTTCCTGTAACGTAATATTGGTACAATAAAAAGGTGCAGTCAGAAAATGTCTCATTATCCTGAAGGACCTGAGGCACTTTAGATGGGGTGAGCTTTTGAGCACTCCTGCTACGTCCACAGAAAACTTTGCATAAATTCTGCTGTGGCGTTCAGCAAAAAACCACAATGAAGTCCATGTTCCCTCCCAGTACTGAGGGTGGCAAAACCGGCAGAGTCTGCAAGTGGAAAGGCCACAGCTTGTCCATCCCCGAGCTTCCCGGGTCATCCCTCATGCAGCAGCAGGCTGCTGCGCAGGACATGTCCCCTCATTAATTGATTTTTATGCTGGTAAATACCTCTGGGCACAGTGTGGAAGCAGATCACATATACTTGATTAGTACCTCACCATGTGTGTCAAATTCTTGTTATAATCGCACAAAAATCTCATTGAAGCTACTGGGCCTGACTTGAACCTCATCCATGTTACAGTGACAACAAGAGTTGATGACAACAAGAGTTATTTCTGCCACTGGCTGCGGATGGAGCAGGAGCAGAGTCTGACCTCATCCCCACCATCTCCTGAAGAAGCTACTCCAGATTCACACTGGTGTGAAGGAGACCACAGGTGGAGCTGTCTGGGGACAGCTCCAACCTCTACTTAATGCTGCCACCTGACGCTGGGAAACGAGTCTCACAAAAATAGTTACCTTGCAGTAGTTAGCTCCAAAGCCCCGTCCCAAGGGAAGGGAAGATGCAGCAACTATAGGAGAGAGGAGCACGGGCAAGGTGGGCTGTCCTAGGAGATCTGCCATCGCAGAGCAAACCTGCTCGCTTTGTTGCAGGTTTCATTTCCTCTGCAAATGGTTCAGATGGGTTTGGGCATGTGTTATCCACCATTGCTGCACCATCACTAAATCTGATAGATCAACATTAGACCACTGATCATAATTTGGTGAGGAGAAACATTTTTAGTTTATGGTGCATGCCAGTCCAAAGCTAAGTAACGCTGAAAGCAAGTGGTGAAACCTGTATCAAATGTTGTTGATATCTGTGTTTTGCTTGCTTTCACTCTCCTTAAATCTTACAAAGTAATTTGTGGTTTCATAATAACATAAGACCGATCTCTCCAGGGTATTTTACCATCTGACAGCGGGAATGCTATTAAGAACAAAGATCTTGAGTCACTTTTGCTCCTTGAGCAATGGAAAATTATGGTGAGTGCAAACACAGGCACTAGGCCTTCCCACTGCTACCAAATACACTGATGGCAACAGGAATGCACAGCGGCATATTTCAGGTACCACGGTGACCAATGCACGAGTAAGGAAGTTGTGCCTAGACAAATCTTCTATCACTAATTGGGTGTACTGCGGATTCTTCACCCCATGCTTTGGTCAAAAGAGCCAAGAGGAAAACAGAAGCGCTTTAATATGTTTGATTTGGTGTAGCAATTTTTACATCCTTACCTAAAGTGCATGGATACTGGGAGGACACTGGGACAGGAGGAGGAGGCTCATTTCCAGCTGTCCAGTACTACATTAGCTCTGCGCTGCTGAGCCACCTCACAAAGGTAGCTCAGAGCCAGGGGGTTGTGATATGGTATGGGGGGGTTTCTGTATCAGCGTTGTCAAATTGAAAATACATTAGCGTCAGTTTGAAAATGTGCAGTATCAGCAAAATGAGGGAGTGAGAAAAGCAGAGCCAAGCCTGCATGTTGCCCTCAGCAGGGCACTGAGGGCTGCAGGTCTCAGTTCACCCCACGTGGAACAGCCACCTTCTACAACCCTCGACACCAACATCAGCCCTACAATGCAGAAAGACGGCTTGCAGGCTTTAACTCCCGTAAGTGAAGAAGCAGCCTGAGCTGCCGGCGGGCGACCGCCGGGGGCGCCCCC